AGGAATGCGCCGGGGTCTGCCTTGCTTTTTGGGGTTAGCCCCCGTGTTTTTGGGGAGGGAAGCCCAAAAGGAGGGGAAACCAAAAGGGGAATTAGGGCAAGTTCAAGGAGAACTTTTGGCACCTGTGGAAACACTTTTGGGGGGAAGCCTGTGGTTTTTGTTGGTTTTTATTCAGGTTTAAAGGGCAACCAGTCGCCAAAAAAAACGCGCCCAAATGGTGCTTAGTTGAAAAGGGCAACCCCATGAAAAGCGGAGTTTGAGTGGTTTTTTTTTGTGTTCCAGGGTAAACCTCTGTAACCTTGTTAGGGAACCAGGCAATGTGAGAAGGAAGGGCACCCTGTTCAGGCAGGGAGACAACCAAAAGAAACGCCACCAAGTTGGGCCGACCCCCCCCCATTTTGACGGTCCCATTTTATGGCGACAGATCCGGCAGCAAGACGAGCTCAGCATGATGAGTAGGTGCTTTTCTTGGACTTTATTTTTTCTCCGGGGTTTTTCACCCATGAGAACCTCCCGTAATCTTCCGTACTAAGGAACCTGCCTTCCATTTTTGGAACTTCGGGGCTTAAACCCTCCCAGTGGATCCCAGCAACCTAAGTAGTAGGTAACAAGGTAACCAATCATTTTCCTTTTGTACCTAGGTCCTCCATACTGTTTTTGTTTATTTTAGTAGGGGAACCCTCCCCTAAGAAAGGGTAAAAGGGCACTACTAGGAGACCTATCAACAAAACCAGGGAAATGGACTCACGGCGCCTAGCAAAGAGAGGCTGAGTCACTTTGGCCGCAGAGGCTGAAGAACCAGTTCTTGGACACGAAGGCTTCCGCGAGGCAGGCGCCGATATTTTTGGAGGTCAAGTGGCGTGCGCAAACCGGAAGCTGAGTGTCCTTTTTTTGCTTCCGTCCTGAAGTTAAATTCAGGGTAACTGGGTCCAATTTCAAAGTATTTGGGTCTCTCCCCTTCCCTTTCAACAGCAACAGCAGCTGCTGCTGCTGACTGCTGCCGGTGCCACTGGCGTCGCCTGCCAGCGTGCGGAGGACCGCAGAATGTTGGGAGATGGTGGCAGTGGGCAAATTGGCACATGGAAAAGAGCACACCTTTTTTCACCCCTTGGTCAGGCTGTGGTCATCACCACAGAGTTGCACCCCAGGTATTCACGGATCTAATGCAATCACAGATCTAATGCAATCACAGGAATCTAATGCAATCACAGGAATCTAATGCAATGACGGAATCAATTGCTTGCCCTGACGTGCCGCAAAGAGCGCCGCCCGAACCGGGGATTCCATCCACCTGGCCAAGGCCTTAAGGTAGCGCTCCTTCGGGCCCAGCTCAATGTCCTTCTCATCCTCAGCGATTTTCTGCACCATGAACTTCACGTAAGCGGCCTTGGCCTTGCGGAAATCGTTGCTCGGCAGGGGCGGCAGGCCCTCTGCTGCAAGCGCTTGCTCGACAGCGTCGACCGGCTTTTCCGTAGCCTTCTTTGCCTTCCTCGCCTTGCTCTTGCCAACAGCGGCAGCTTTTGCCGAAGCAGCAACGGGCTCGGTGCGAGGGCCATCATCAGCAGCTTTGGGCTCGCGTAGGACTCCCTTCTTCACGTATTTCTGATGCCATCGGCGGCAGGCCTCTCTGTGAACCCTCTTCCTGTCTTCTGTGCTTTGGCGCGTTTTCACCGGTGGCGCCGCCAGCTCCGCACTGCCGTCGCCATTCGCCAGCTCTGGTCCATGCACCTCCACGTCACCATTGCCACCCGCCATCTCTGGCCCATGCACCGGGGACTCCTGCACCTCCACGTTGCCGTCGTGCTCCGCGTTGCCATCGCCGTTCACGAGGAACTCCTGCGACAGCTCCGCGTTGCCATCGCCGTTCACCAGGGACTCCTGCGACAGCTCCACGTTGCCATCGTGCTCCGCGTTGCCATCGCCGTTCTCCAGGGACTGCTGCGACAGCTCCACGTTGCCATCGTGCTCCGCGTTGCCATCGCCGTTCTCCAGGGACTGCTGCGACAGCTCCACGTTGCCATCGTGCTCCGCATTGCCATCGGCGTTCTCCAGGGACTCCTGCGACAGCTCCTCGTTGCCATCGTGCTCCGCGTTGCCATCGCCAGGCGCCATCTTTGGCCCATACATTTCGGAGTCTGAGTCCTCACCCACGTTGCCATTGAGCGTCTCCTTGTTGACACGCCGCCTGAGGGCCCTCTCGAAGCCTTCGTTCCAGCTCTTCTTGCGGGACTCCTCGCTCCTCAGCGCTGCCCACTCGACATCAGTAGACTCGTCATCTTCTTCAGTCTCGTGGCGGGCTGGTGTCGCAGGCGGTCTTGCCTTTGATTTCGTCGCCGTTACCCGCGTCAGCGTAGATTTGGTCAATGGCCCAAGCCGGCGCAGCTTTGGCGGTGGAGTCCTGGCAGGGTGAAGTGAAGAAATAACCATGAAAGGATGAGTATCATTTAAACTGATTGAAGCCAAACGGACCACTTGTTCAACCCAGTGTCCTCTCAGTTTGGGATGCGGCGCCCTGTGCTTCCACAGGCGCAGCCAAAGCCGGTCTCCATACTTGAACATTGTTCAAATCAGGCCCTTGTGGGGTGATGCAATGGAACCCTTGGGATGCGGGCGGGGGCGGCTCACTGAACTCCACAGCATTCTGGGAGTCGCTATCCACCCACAACATATCCATTGCAATCGGAGGGGGCCCTTTCAAATCACCTCAAAGAGACCTTGGGCCGAGCAAGCTAAAATGAACAAGTCGTTGGTTTAAGCAAAACCGTGGAAACTTGCCCTCGCAGGACGTCTGCAAGCTGCTTCGCGCGGCCACCTCTGCAGGAGACACTGGGGTGGGTGCAAAGAGTTTTTTTCTCCCAGAGCTCGTGATTTAAGAAAGACTCATGGCCCCGTGGCGATGATCGCAGTCCTTGGGACTGCGCAAAACCCCAACTTGATGCCGTGCGGTTGGCAAATCACCCATCCTTGCTTGTTGCTTGGTGTGGCCAGCGCTTCAGCTGAGTTGGCTGGGCATGAAAACCGTAAACCAAAAAAGGGGTGATATCTTGATTTGATTACTGCTATTTACTGTTTTGACAGTTGTGCCCATCACACCCTGGATTGCAAATTGCACTAAATGATCCTTTTGCACTGCCCCTCTGGCAGCACAAGCTTGGCCCGAAGGAAAAGCAAAGGCTTCGCTGCCCCCAAAATTTGCTCCGTCTCATACATCCGCAAGCGCCACACCTGGCGCGACCCCCCCCCCCAGAAAGGGCAAATAGAAAGTTGAAAATGACTTGATGCTGAAACACTGTTGACTATGTTGATCAGAGAGGGACCTTTAAAGACAAACCGTTTGTAGCCCGCAGGTCCGTTAAGGGACGCTTCTCTGACCAACCGGGTAGGTGCTGCAAAGAGTCCACTTGCCCAGAAAACAAAGTGATATATTTAGAATCCGAGCCGAAGACTTAGGAGGACACCCCTCAAATGGAACCTTTCAATCTTTGGGCTTGTTCACCCGGCTTGGCAGGCCTGGCGCAGGGCGTCGGAGGCCAGGACCTGTCTGGCTTCGAAGTACGAACCCGCATTCTTTTGTTTCACGTTCTTCAACTGCACTGCGGATGGTCGCCATAGCATTGTGTTGCTGTCCTTGACAGACACCGTGAACCTGCGTCAGGGCTTGTTTGCTTTTCTGACCCAAATTCGCTAGGGTTGCCAAAAAACACAAACACAAAAACTAAGTCCCATAGTTTAAACTTGCGGCCTGTCATCCTCCTCCTGTCCTTGGCACACTTCAGCTGGGCGGGAGCACTGGTGTCCTGCTAGCTCGAAATCAACAACACCTCGTTTTTCAACGGCTTGTAGCGCCGCCCTCAAAGTGCACGGGTCTCCGTCACGTCCATGCTCGTCCTGGGATGAATGCTTGAAGCATAAGAGAGCACACTGCGGTTGTTGGACACCGTTCCCTGCCTCAAGCACCACTAGCTCTTCGTCAGACTCCAGCTTGAAGATGTATCCCTTGTGCGGATTCTCCTTTTACAGGGGTTTCAATATGTTTCAAATACCAAAGTTGTCAGAAACATCTGAAACTGGGGAAGGTTGAAGCTGCGGGTGGAGGGGAAAGATCCAATAGCGCTGCGTACTGCTTGATCGTTCAGGTGTGGTTTGAGCCCCTGGCGCAATATTTGCAAAGTGCTTGGAGGCTGTTTTGGAACCTTCTGAAACCGACGTTGGTTACAAAGCTGCGAGTCCTGCGCGTACGCTGCAGCCTTGGCGTCAAGAAGCCAAGTGCCGGCCCCAAAGGTCACCACGGGCAGCTCGGTGTCCACCTCGCTGTCGCCAGTCGAGATCAGAAACAGCTTGGGTCCGTCCACCACAGTGGCCGCAAGGGTCGGCCCCAAGGAGAAGGTTGCGTGGCCCTCCTCGGACCCGTACTTGGTGATGAACTCGGGTCTGGTGTTGGGCTCATCTGGGAACACGCTGCCCCAGTCAAAGGCACCGCTCTCGGCACCGCTCCCAGCATCAGCCGTGACCGCAGTGGAAGTCGAAGCCGTTGCAGCGGCAGCTTCCTGCCCCGTGCTGCTGGCGGGTTGCGCTGCCGAGCCCTTGCCCCACTTTGCGTCGAAAGCAGCCAGCAGACTCTTCCATTCTGGCGCACGAACCGGGCAGGCCAGGTATCTGGCTCGAACATCAGCGGGGATGGTCAGGCACTGCTCTGACACAGAGCAGAGCACCAGGCTTGGAGACTCCACCAGCACAGGCGACTCATCGCAAGGCTCAGCCTTGAACTTCGGCTGCGCCTTTGCCATGCAGCCGCTCTGGCTCTTCCAGTCCTTATGGCGCAAGGGACACGGCAAGCGTCAATTAATACAAGAAGAAGAGGAGCAACAAGCGAACACGATGTATCGTCGGGGCCAACGAAATAGATTGTCGGGGCCAACGAAATGTGAGGGGTTTGACAATTCTGCCTATGGCCGATGTCCATGGCCGAATGACCAAAGTGTGGCAATTATGAAGCGTGGCTATTGCAGTGGCCCGGCCTGCAGCAGCATGTTCGCCACAGTCATGGCGGCATAGGAGTGGCACACCGAATTGTCGGTCAACGACCAAACCGGCACACCCAATTGAACACAAGCGCGTTCCAGGGAGCCACAGTAGGCAGTGGTGTGAATCACCACAGCACGCTTCAGCTTGCTTTCACCTCAAGGAGCGAACAACTGAATTTAGTGCTCCTTCGTCCAGCAAACCGACAAACCACGCTAACCGCGTCAGGAAACAAACGGGGAAAGAATGCCAAATGCAGCTTTAAATCTGAACAGACTTTTCAGGACTTTGCAGTACGCCTCTTCCCCTGCCAGCCACTGGGCCGTTTCCTGGACGTCCGTGAAATTCTTGCGGCTCTCGTTGCCGCTAAGCGTGGCCCTGGCTGACGGCACCACGAAGCTTGCTTCGGGCAAGGCACTGGGCAAGCTGTCCGCCGCAAAGCCCTGCAACCGCCAAAGCTCGGAAGCCGCAAAATCGCTGACTTTGGCAGCTTTCAGCTGCTCTTTGTCGTCCGCGCGGGAGACCCGGTGCCCTGTGCCCTTGAGGGGCAGGAAGGCGTCAGGCACTGCCAGCCAGGCCTGAAAGTAGCCCGGCCGGTCCGTGTTGCCGTGCAGGCCGCCCATGTCAAGGCCCAGCCGCAAGTCGCGCAACTCCATACGGTGTTGGACGACCTTGTCTTCGATGTTTCTGGCAAGGGGTGATGAACATCATTGCGCAGTTCAGTGCTGATGCATCCGCGCAGGTGTGGGAAAAAAACTCCGTGGACTATTTGGAAACACCGTGTCGGACTATTTGGAAAGAGCCCTTGCCTGTAGTCTCTACGCAGAGAGCCACCGGCAGAAGCCCCGGCAAGCAAGGGGGCCACGATCAACGCAGCTGAGCCTTGTGTGCCCGTTGCGAAGCAAAGTATTAGCAGCTCGGAGAGTTCGCAAAACTGGTAAGGCTTTCAATTGCCGAGGAGCGCTCCTGGTTGCGGTCAACGCACTTCGACATGAACTGGCAATGCTTGTTCAGCGTGGCTGTGGACAGCACACCCAGTTTGCTGTAGTCGGTGACGACAACTGTCAGAAGCTCGTCTTGCTTGACCTGCGGGGCTCATCTTACCTTTTTGGCACCCTTTTTTGAGTTTGAGACATGTCGTGTCAAACTCAATGTGTGCTTGCACCTTTTCCATGGCCCTCCACCAACTTTCAATCGCTTTTTCCTTCCACCAACTTTGAAACGCCCGAGCCTTCAACTCCCCAGCAGCTTGCCGGATCCAGGCGTCCAAATTGGGCACGCTGGAGCTGTCAGGTACGAGGTTGATGCAACACATCTTCTCCATGTAGCCCTCAACAAGCCTAAGTTGAAACTTTCGGTGCAAGGAAATTATGCCAACCAGCCATTTTTGGGGGGAAACTTGCAAAGAAACCTCAAAACCTTGAGCGGACGCCAACGCTTGCAAGGTGACCCTTTACCGATGTCGTTTTGGGCCTTGCCGTGCGTCACCGCAATGATGTGTTCCCTGGCAAGTTTCTTCTTCTCCTGGTTCTTGTAGCGGACCCACGCAAGCTCGTCCATCCTGAGCCCCAGGACAAGTCTTTGGAACCCCTGGTTCTGGTTTTTCTTTGAGTGGCGGTTTCGCTTCCCTCGTGGCACGGGGTAGTTGTTGGAATCTAAGATGAATGAACAAACTCATTTTTTGGAACTGCTTGCGATGCTTCACCCCCCCCCAAAGACAACCTGTTCAGCTTCACCTTTGCCCTGGGAGCCTGGGATTGCTTGAGGCTTAAATCCCCTCATGAAGAAAATTGCCTGGAAACTTAAAACCCTGTGCCCCTCTAGCGACACTTGACCCCCCCTCTGCAGGAAACCCAGTGCCAAGCGCTACAAGGCACCTGGAGGACCGGGAGTCTGACGGCTGTTGTTTATTGGTCCCAAAAAAAAACGGCATCAAACCGAAAGGAACACCCCTCACCCCGCCCTGCCCCCTTTGCAGCGCCCCCGATTTGGAAGCCTTCTGGCCGACCCTTCATACCGCCCCCATGCGCCCCCCGTTTGGAAGCCTTCCGGCAATTGTATTACCTACCAACTTGTCCTCCTTGAAACTTCCTTGTGTTTGGAACCCCTGAAAAATGTTTTGCTGAGACGGTGCCCCTCCCTGCCTAGGGTTTAGTGTTGGGGGGGAGGTTCAATTTCAAAATGCAAACTCGTTGACGCCACCCTTGTCTTGAAAGAGAAACATTGTCAGCTGGTTTCAAGATTCGAGATTTTGCTGCGAACTTCTTGGAATTGGGCAGCCAGGGTGGCCTCCTCCATGGCCTCCATGTCAGCCTCTGTCGGGACAGACTCCGGTGCCTGGATCTCCACCAGCTCGCCCCACAGGGTGAGGTGTCTGACGTTCCAGTTTGTCAGCGCGGAATCGAGGCTCGCCAAAATCTCCGCGTAGTAGTCCCTGACAGCGGCACGGTGGAGTGGCGGTTTGCCGAACTGTTGAACACAGAATAAGTACTTGAGTTTAGTAGTTGATCCGTTTGCCCTGAAGTTGCGTTGAGTAGCTACGGAACACGTTTGCCAAACACTTGCCATAGCGTGCTCTTGCGCTTGCGACGCCTGGCCATGAATGCAGTGTGCAGCATAGACTGCACCTCTGCCAGCCGTTCCCCGGAGTGAACCTTGCCAGCTTCGTTGCGGATGGCAGTCATGACGCAGGAGTAGTCCACGAGGCGCTCCCACTCCTTTGTGTCAAGGCGGAGCTTGGCTCGGCTGGCAGCCTTCACCCGCCTGGTCTGGTGATTGAACCACGCAACGTAACCTCGCAGCATGTCCACCTGTGACTCGTGGGTCACCGTCAAGATGTTCTTGATGTAGGCAGTGCCGTTCTTGCATGTGGCGCCCAGCAGCCACCTTGTTGACCTGAGAAGTTCGGAGGTGAACGCGCTCTGGGTCCACTTGTGGTAGTTCAAGTGGTTGGCTATCACCTGGCGGGCCTCTGGGCTGGAGCCGATGAGGAGGTTGAGCACTGCCTTGAACTTGTCGTCGTCGGTGTGCCACTTTGCGATGGTGCCTCCGTTGAACTCGTTGACCACCGCGCGGAGCCTCTCCTCGGTGTTCATCTCAGGGCTGTGGAGCCCGCGGTCTGCCTTCCAAGCCATGACGTGGCTGAAGGTGAGCGCCAAGGTCAGCACACTTGGTGCTTGACGCTCAGCTCCGCGGTAGCTGAGCTGAAGGTTGGTGAATGCTTGGGAAGCTGTGGTCTGGTCACACGTGATCTCGGTTGGGAAAGAATCACCACAAGAAACCACTTTTCTTAAACTTAAATTTGTGGCTGCAGGTTGCCAAGTTTTCCGATGCGGGATGCCGTCAGTTGGCAAACGCGCTGCAAAGCTCAATTTCAAACACGTGTTGTGAGAGACGGGGCGCGTGCATCGGGAGAAGCCAGGCGCTGTCTAGGAACGGCAGGAAAGGCTGAAGAGTGTCCCACTCGGTCTCCACGCAAATCTCTGCGCAGGCCATGAGCACGAATGCCACCACTGTGGCTTTGGTGTACCCTTTGATGATATCCAGGGAGCCATTCTGAAGGGTGACGGAATTGCCTTGTCAAGAAACGGAAAAACATTCGAAGGGGTAACTAGTTTCCGAAATCCCCATGAAAACCAGCAAACAACGCTAAGCTAAGCACGGCCTTCAGGGAAACTCACCTGAGAAACGGTTGAAGCCCTCTAGACCCTGAGCTGGCAATCTGAAACTGGTGGCTTGAAATTGTGCTGAGATCTTGACGTTCACTGAAATCGGCTCACGGGTGAGGTCTAGGCCCGAGGTCACCATGCTCTCCCAACAGGTCACCCAATCTCTGATGCATGGCATGCCGTCAGGAGGCATCGAAAACCTGGGCGCCGAGAGCAGGGGAGCCTATGAAGTTCTGAAGAGAGATTTGTCCAAGAAACTTCAAGCTTGTGATTGGAAGCTTCATAGAATCCTTTTCCATTGAGCGGTCCAGAACCTCAGCAGGAAATCTTGCATGTTTTGAGCAGGGATGGCTTGGCTAGCGGTACTGTAAGGGCAGAGCAAAGCATGGTGCTGGCTTGAAGGGGAGGGTCTGGTTCCTCTTGGTCTGGTAACCCTTGAACCAGTCCTCGAGCGACTTCATGTTCAACTGCAAGCCCTCCTGGTTGCCAGTCGCCAGATACGCCGGCACTGCGTCTGCGGGGTGGGCATTCCGGCTCTCGCCCAAGTCGGGGTCCTCAAAAAGCTGGATAAAGTCCAGCATTTCCTCAAAGCGCACTTGCCAGATCGGAGGCCATTCACAACTGGGCTTGACTACTAGATAGCATCAAACATGTTTTTCCTTGTTTGTGCGGGGCTAGCCAGAAGAATTGCAGATTCAGACAAAGGACCCGCAAGAGCTGGGTGTCTCCAGGCTGCTTCTTCAAGAAGCGCTCGAAGGTGGTGCAAGGCTTTTTCGGCGCAGGTGGCTTGGCAGTTTTGGCCGGTGTGTTGTCTAGCCCTTCTTCCTTCTTCAACTCCTTCTTGGGGGTAGCAAGCACTATCCCCCGCGCCCGCTCCAAGAACGGGTTGCCCATGGCTAACTGCCTGCCTGTGTCGCGATCGAGCCCGGTGAGCTTTCAAGTGCATTGATTTGGTTTTGCGACCTGGGTTTGGAAATCAATGTAGTCTTCCCCGCGGATACCATCGAAACCCCCCCCTTATGGAGGCCCGACATTGACCCCGGTTGTTGGCCCTAGAGTTGCAAATAAAGTCCACCCCCCCAAAACCCTAGGTTTTCAATGTGCTCTTCGGCGAAGAGTACATCGACCCCGCGGCTCTCCCCCTCCAAAGAATTCAACGCACAAAGTTGCCCAAATATCTCGGGCCACTCGGGTTTCAACGGAGTCCCCGGCGGAGACTACATCGATTCTGTGGATACAGGGCACCCTGTTGCCGGCGAGGACATCGATTTCATGGCCCAGAATCTTGCGGGTGCATCGATTCTGCAAATCTGAAACTACATCGATTTCAGGCGGGTAACACTCAGCCGTGCATCGATTCTCCGTAAGAAGGTTGAGACGCCGACCTTTGGTTGGGTTCCATCTCCAAAAATAGTTGAGAGAGAAACCAAACATCAAGAAGGAACAAGTGAAATAGAAAGATAGAGGGAGAGAGACGTGTGAGAGGGAGAGGGAGAAAAAGAGGAAAGAAAGAAAAAGCAGCTAGAAGGAAAGACAGACTCAGAAAGAAAGAAAAGTTAAACACAACAGAGAAATAATGACAAACTAAAGGAAGACGAAATTAGAAAGCAAGCAAGAACGACAGAAATTAAGAAAGACAAACGCAAGAAGGAAGCAAGCGGGAAAGCAAAAAAGAACGAAGACAGGATAATAAACAGAGAAACAATACAGAAAGAAGCAAATCCAGATAGAAAGAAAGAATGAAAGAAATAAATAAATAACGAAATAAAAAAGACAGACGCAGCAATAACAAAGCAAGAGCGAAGGAAAGGAAGAAAGAAAGACAGACAGAGGGACAGAGTGGACAGAAGGACAGAAAGGCAGAAAGAGAGAGAGAAAGAGAGAGAGAGAGAGAGAGAGTGAGTGAGTGAGCGGAAGGGAATCATAAACCCTTGAAAAAGCATGATCCGCCTTCATCAAATGGTGCCCTTTTCCTCCTTTCCCCAACAGTCTATTGACTCCTAAAAGTAGGAGGGTTATAATTACTTCCCAGCGCCTTGAGCAAACTCGGCCCCGCCTGCGCTCAGGCTCGCGCGACCGTGCGGCCGAGGCACAGCCACAACCTCAGTCGGCCAAGGTGGGCGGGTGAAAGAAGGGTATGGGTTTGAACCGGCCGCTGCAGTGTTTTCCTTTGCTCTTGAATTGGTTGCAAGTTGCTCAGAAAGCCCATATTCGGCCTTTCATTTCTGATGAACATGTTGAATTAAGCTGATAATTGCTTCACCCACCTTCTCACTGGCTGCCCTCACATGATCTTCCGGGCCACTGGAGGAGGCGGCTGAATGTGGCTCCTCTTCCTCCCGCACCACGCTCCACTGGTCATCCTCAACAAGACCTGTTTCTTGTTGGGATTGGGCAATTTGGCATTGTTGAAGCCAATGCTCACGTATTTGAAGCATGAGGTTGCCCCTGGTCCCTCCGCTGGGAAGGTTGTGCTCCTCACAAATTTTGACAAGCCCGCACTTGTTCGTTGAAGTCATGTTGTTTGTGGGGTCAGCTGGGTGTCGCTCGCCGCGGACTTGCTCACGAAAGAGTTGGCGAAGCTCATCCCTGGTCAGCGACCTCAAATAAGATGGTTGTTCCTTTGAGCCACTGTTCAAACGCACCAACTGGTCCAGCAGCATGTCTTTTGTTTTCGGGATTCGTGGCGCTGTAGACCTGTCCCACACGTGCGGCCGGCCCTCGGCCCAACAAGAAGGGCACTTTGCGGCCATGAGGGTTCGGCGCTAAAGTTTCACAGTGACAGGCTTCTAAATGCAAAACAGCGGCGGAGACCCACATCAAAGCTGAAAACACTCATTTTCAGGTTCGCAGTTCCCTTTGAGTCAACACACTCTGAGGTCAGGGCTGCACAGGCGCTCCCGCCTGCGAGAGACGGTGTCAATTTTGAACGAGACCAACTTTCAATGAGGCACTGGCAACGGTTTTGCACTCACATGTTGCGAGCTCCACCAAAGGCCGCCCTTAAAGGGATGCCCGGCGCCAAAGATTCTACCACTGTAGGGTGCAATTTGTACGCAGGTTCGCCAACTGACGGTAGCCGGGGTGGCTCCTGGTGCCAGGGCATGTCCGGAAGTTGGGCATCAACATAAAACTTGTTTTGAGCTAAGGACTGCAAGTACTGTACACTTTCAGCATACTCAGCTCCGTAGTGCTTCTTCACAGCAGTAGCCAAGTCCCGGCACTGGTCTCGGAAAGCAACGCTGTGGTTGTTCGGATGCCTGAGCGGCGGCAGTGCATCAACAATGAGTCACGCTTCTCCCCAGCATGTGTTCCTGACCAATTGCTGGCTTGGGACTTGTGTTGCGGCACCATTCCAACTCGTGCTGCTCTGGCAGCAGAGAGGACAAGTAGCGGAGGTTGCGCCAACCCCTCCGATCCAATAAACTGCTTAACGAGCATAATTGTGTCATACGGGCTTGGTGCGGCTCGAAGGCTTCCACAGTTGATACTGGCTTGCAGGGGATCGGGAAGGTCTAGGATGGGGTCCAAAACGGCATCCTTCAAAAAAACAAAACCCGAAAACTCTTTAGGTGGAGTTAAGAAGAATGTTCAATCAATCGCCTCGCGCTTAGGTTCTAAAACTGGTTTTCAACCACAAGCCTCGACGCATCAACGTCAAGAAGCAATGGTTGCCACTTGCATCCTCAAGCAGCCCTCCGGACAAAGAGACTTGTTGGGCTGCAGTGAAGTGACCACGCCAGGCACGGACAGCGTCCAGCTTCTGGACATGTACCTCTGTGTCCTGGCCCACCCACGCGCGGAGCCCTGGCCGCTGCAGCTCGCGTTGTAGGGTCTCTATGACCGAGCTGGGTGATTTCAGTTGGTCAGTTGCAGCAATCCGTCGTGCAAGAATTCCCCAAAGCTGATCTATTTGATCATGACTATGACTTTTTCTCAAGTTTAGCAATCCTGCCAATTTCATTTTGCCGGATGCTGTCAAGTTCAGAATGTACGACAAGAAATATTGATTTTTGCTTTCACGAACGGTATTGTCTGATAGGGCGAGGACTGAAGTTGGGGCAGGGCGACCCTTTGCGCGGGCCAGCTGCATCACCCGTTCCAAAGTGCGAGCCACAGTCTCGCACACACAGGATGAGTCATGACGCATGTTCTCGTCCATGACGAACAACTCCAGTGTCCATCCTAGGCTTTTTGAGAACCCAACCCAACAACACATGCAACAGCGTACAAGAAGCAGGCAGCGAGGTGCTAGCAAGGTTCCCACCGCCCACACCCCGTGCAAGGTGAGGCTCGGTCGGATGTGTTTGTTCCTGGGGCAAACCACTTGTTTGCAACAAAATCATTGGCACAGGTGGGGTGGGATGCTGAGCGCACTCAATCAAGCAAGTTGCAGGGCGGCTATAGACTTGAGGCCTGGGTCGCGGGGAAGTCTGAATTTTCCTTGGTCCATCCCGTCCATCAGAAGAAATAATGTTTGTGACTGGTGGTCCCGACTGAGTTCAGAGAGGGACCACGCAATTGATCGGTCCACGTACTGCGAGTGCAAATGATCCCGATAAGTCTTCACCGCCGCTAGCTTGACCTCCAGTGACTCCTGGTTGCTGTTGATTTGACGTGTCAGCTGGTAGCACACAGTGCAGCGTGTGAACCTCAGTAGGCTCTGTGGAATCCAAAGGGTTGCTTTGTTTGGGTTGGGCATGCGCATTGCTGCCAAGGAACAAAGACTTGTCCCTGAATCTCAAAACGTCTTTCCAGCGTTGGTTGTACACTCGTGCAAACGTAGAATAACTCGGTGCAGGGCAAGAGGAACGCATTTGGGAACAG